GCGGCTTATAAAAACGGGGTTTTAATTCGGCGTACGACCTGCATATTGACAGACTTGACGTATCCAATGGAAAATGGTACAAGCGCTTAACTCCTGGGTGATACAACTGGTCATGTTGGTTGTTTAAATCAGCGGACGTCATAGAAGCAGAAAAACTGGTCCGCGATAACGCAACGGCTGAGAAGTTGCTTTTCCCTGGACGGTAGATAATTTCAAACCGAAAACAGGACAATTCCATACGCCATCGCATAGTTTTATCGTTCTTGATTTTAGCCTTTTGCTTGTTATCATACATAAATGCAACAGAAATCTGGTCAGCAACGAGCTTGATATGGTTCCCGATGAGGCAACGATTCCACTTTCTAACAGCTTCAACAATGACATAGGCCTCTTTTTCGACTGCCGAATGGCTTCTCTCACGCACCGACAAGAATCTAGAGAAAAATGAAATCTCAGAGGCTTCCGTTTCGACGACCATAGAAATTTCGGTATCAAGCGTGAACAGCGTTGCTTTCCCCAGCCCCTGGTGCAAGGTGTCAAAAGCCTCCTTAACAGTTTCCGGGAATGGAAAAGTAGTGATATGAACAATACAATGAATGCCACGATAAAAGTTAGGTATCCATTGGGAGTAATAGGCAACATCACGACAATTCGTTGTTGAGACTTCAGATCGTGCAGTGGAGGAAGTTCATGCAATGGTCTGAATCGGTCGGGGTCCAGCCTGAGCTTGCAATTGGATATTTCGAATTCTAAGGGAGTAATTTTCTGTACTCTGACAATAGCTGGTCATGGTTAAATGACATCCAATACTTTTGTGTCATAGATAGAAACCACTCGAGATTGCAGTCATATTTTCATGGTTTTCTCCGCAAATGATGATGCTATCTACATGCACACAGGTACCAGACAACTGTTCGTGTTCAATAAGACAAAATATGGCTATTTGGAAACACGCCACGCCGCTTGTAACTACGATGAGAATGCGACGAAACTGATATAAATTTCTGCAAACTTTAAAGGCAGTGTATACTATTTCACTTTCGTTTATAGTTATTTGATGATATGCACTTCGTAGGTTCAAAGTGATATAAACATCATGGGGGGACACCTTCTCAACTAGCTCATCGATCCGAGGTAATGGAAACGTATCGAGATAGGTGAATCGGTTGATCGTGTGGCTGTAATCGACAACCATCCGTCTTTTGTGTCTCTCGTTAGCAGTCACAAGCGCTTGGGCGCGCCATAGGCCTTGGACGATTTGATTAGTTGCACATTAAGCAGTGATTGGACTTCATCATGAAGAAATTCTTCCTCAATCGCGGAGTGTCGCCGTGAATTCGTCGCAATGGGACGAATATCAGAGGCCAAATGTTGGAATAGAAGAGGTAGTAGGATGCGCACTGCTGTCAGCCCGCAGATAGAAAGGGTGGTTTTTGGGCACCAAATGGAATCTGAAGCCGTGCATGGAGCGTTAGAAAGTCATGACCGAGCAAAATATCGACGTAGAGGTGGGGTCACACTGACAGCTTGAACTGCGGGTAAACGTTATCTTTGCACACAATGTTAGTCAAACAGTGACCCTTCGTGGATGTAGCGTGTGACATAGAAGTCATAGTAATTTGATTGCAGGAGCGATGAATTTTCCATTGGTGCTGGTATGCTACCCTGGATGAGACGTAGCTCTCTGAGTTACCCGTATCGACGAGTGCTGACAAGCCAATCCCGTTGGCGGTGATATTCATCAATGCATCAGTAAGACAAGGTGGTACGACAGCGATAGTTAAAGATAGGAGTAGATCGACTATGGAAGATAGGATGCGTTTACCTTGGATGCAGGATCAGTATACCTTTTGAAAGTGGCCGACTTTACCACAAGATTTGCATGTTGCGTCCTAGGCAGGACCTTTTAAGAGGATGTTTCTTATAACCGTTAAAGGTAGCAAGTTGAGTTGGCAGCAGCAGTTACGGTATCATCATGAACTGGTTTTGTAAACAAGTTGGATTAAGTGATGCGCGCTCTGGGACCTACAATGCCCGAAAGTGGATATGGTTTTGAGAAGGCCGCGGAGTGTGCATGCGCCAGTTCCAATGATCCGGCTTTGTCCAACACGATCTCACAAGCAAGTGATTTGTATTCCAACAGCCTTTGTCGAATTGTACTTGATATAATCGCGCCGATGAAGGCATCGCGAATGGCCTCATCACGATGAGTTCCGGCCTGAAAAATGCAGTCCTTCGCAAGTATTTTTTAGCTTCTTCATAAACTGATCGAGTGGATTCCACTGAATCCTGTTTCGCGGTATACAAGAGATGTCGAGCGTACATGTCATTTTTCGGGCGTATGTAAAGGGAAGATAAAGTCAAGATGGCTAAATCATAAGAGGTGCAACCAGCGATTTGTTTAAAGTTCATAGCAGAAATGTAATGAACAAGAGTTTTAAGTTTGTCTGGCTGTAATGCTTCGATTGCGGACAAAAATTTCTCGAAAGTATAGGTCAAATGTTTCCGTAGGGAGGCAGCGTTGGGGCTAGCAGGATCAATATCGCAGCAATCAAGCTGAAGGTGACACATTCCATGATAGATCATCAGATGGGTAAATTGATACGAGTGAATAGCAGACGAGCACAGCGGTTCAGACAGGGAAGACGAAGGTCCGATCTATAAGGCTTTACTCAATTGAGAATCAGAGTATGTGACCTATAAAGCAAAGGACAGTGTGTGTAGAAAACAGCACAAGTAAAGGAAATGCTGGACAAACGACAATGTCATAACAACTATATGCCCGTACGTGTGGCTACGTCTTATTGTTCATTCATTATGCGGCCGTGTTTCCGCGTGACCCGAACGCTATCACCCATGAACTAAAAGCAGTAAATATCACCAGTGAATTTGTGTTATCCATCAAAATTTTCTGTTTGCTTCTGTTTTGCCACTATTGCCTCATTACCATTTCATTATGGAACCTGGCCCCTAAGATCAGCGGACATAAAGAGGCTAGTTGCGTTTCACCATCGGTGCCTTCGCAGTTTGGCTCACATCTGGTGGGAACACCGCGTGAGCAACGAGCGTGTCCGGAGCCTTGTTTACGGCACAGAAAAAGGAACTGAACCGCTCAGTACCGTCATTTCACGCATCAGGCTCCGATGGCTGGGCCACGTGTTGCGCATGCCAACGCAACGACTTCCGCGATGTGCATTGTTTGCTCACCGAGGTTGTGGACGGAAGAAGAGGAGGGGTGGCCAAGCGATGACTTGGTCGAGAAAAATGAAGGCCCTCACTTCGGAGCTGGCCTCGCTTGGAGCGTCACGGCTCCCTGTTTGGGGTCCAAAAGACGATGAACACGTTTGGCTAGACATACTTGGTGACATGGCAAGGAGCCGACCTTAGTGGGGTTCGTGTTGTGAGTTTCTTTGTCCCAACCCATCACTTTTAGCCTCCCCCTCCACCCACGATCTCATTTCGTAGCGTAATATAATTTTACATAATAATTTTTTTCTTTTTGCCTAGTAGCCGGCTGGTAGCTTACCGGAACGATGCCCATCCGTTACCGGTAGCTCAGCCGGTTTGCACAAGTTGCTTTTTTTCTCCTGTTTGCTATATATTGCGACACAGTAGCTGAGGTGTTTCGCACCTCTAGCTAACGTGTGTAATGGTGATGATTTTATTATACTGATGGCATGTTCGTTACTGCTGAAAATTTACATCTTCCGTGTGCATAAAAGAGCATACTTAACTGGACTTGATAAATTTGCCAAGTTTAGGCTACTTCCAAATAATAGTAGGATGGTGTTTAACCGATTTTTTAAATGAAGTTGAGCTACCAACTGCGGCGGCATTCAGGAAACCTGTACTTTGACACGAGGCTTATTACAATGAGGCCCAGTACCATGGCAAAAGGTGGGGATTTTCACTTAATAAGGAAGCAAACAGTCACCAGTATGACTGAGTAAAAGGTAAAAGTGGGAGACCTCCGTGTTGTGAAGTGTGTCAGAACGACACGCTTAAGGGAGTTCGGTAGTAGGGGGCAACAAGCGATTCGGGGCGAACGAGCAACTCTGATATGCATTTATTTTATGTCCGGAGTTGTAATTATCATTTCAGCGTCAGCGTTAGCAAACGTAGCGCATCGGTTGAAAATGAATTCGTGATAGTAATGAATTTCAACTTCTCACTGCGAGATTCTCCGAAAGCTGAGATCACTATTTCGGGACACCTTATATACAACAGTGCACGCTGAAATCTCATCCGTAGCGGTAAGAGGCCGCCCCGCTCGTCTGACGATGTACACGTTCTCGGTTGTATCAAACTCATTAATAAGTCGACGCACGTACCGGTCGTCAGCGGGCCATAGTGCAGTTGGTTGTGGTACGGCAGCGCGTAGTTTCTGCCGCATTTGACTGGCACTCACCAGAGTCACAGAGGGATCACGCGCTGATTCGCAGGCACGTTACAAGACTTTGGTTACAGTTATCTCGATGACACCAGTGTGTTGCCGTTCTCCATTGCTAACACAGCGAACAGACAGGGATCGCTGTGACTAGCTTATTAACCTGCCTCAGAGCGGTGTATCCATCGATCGTGTCAAGACCAATCCATGGGCTGCATCAGTGCGACCAATGCATTTCTCATACACGTCGTGCAGGTTGTTCTGTCTGCCCATCCATTCGTCAAAACACCAGTCGTAGGATGCTGGCCTGGCATTTCGAAAGCGATGTGGCTCCTCATGTCGAACTTGGTCTGTTTGTCCACCCATCTTCAGAACCCCAGTACCGGGGATACAGGCCTGACACTATGCCATCACTGCAGCCCGTCGTACTCCTGTGACTGGGTGATCGAAATATCGGCAGATCAACGTCTAACAGTGGACAGTTGGCAACTTAGTGCGCTCCAGTGTCACGGTAACGCGTGCAGGTGGTTCAATGAGCAACTGAGGAACGTCGGACCATTCTTTTGAAATATACGGTATTAGTAATATTGGGTGACCCCAACCACGTTTGCCGCCATTTAGTGAAACTTAGCAGTACCATCAATCTCAGAGGTAACAGCCTGAAACGGAGTGAAGAATACAGCCGTCTAGTGTTGACGGAATTACTATTCACTTCGGGTTTGTCAGCCCTGGAACTTGCATCAAAACTCTGTTATATCCTACCTTACTTTGGATATTTTCAATAAACAGTTATATGTTGCGCTTAGGTTCCAGCACTTCGTTACCTAAACTGTGCTTTCTTCGATTACATTTGTTATGCCCTTCTACCGGATTTATGAGCCACATGGACCCAAGGAGGCGGCGCACGAGTGAGAGACCATAGGTTAGTTTTCTCACGCATTACCTTAATGATCAATGTACCCCGTGTTCTCTTTTTACTTATTTTATTTGACATTACCGATATTCATCGAAGAATTCAACTCGGTAGACGCTCGGTAGATGACTCACATACCTTTTGATTTTATAGGATCCATCACACCCATCCTACGGGACTTGTCAAGCGTTTTTGTTTCAACCTGTGTTTAATCATTGTTCACCTTGAACAAGTGAGGTGAGAAAAACCGATTAGCTTCGCATTACTACAAAGCTGACTCGGTTAGGATCCATGCTATGATCGCAGATAGAATAGCCCCTTAAGCCAATTGCATTCAAATAAACAAACAGATCGTTTGTAAGGGAACAGGCTATTGTCTAATGTTGGATCCTGGAATACCCGCCGTGTGTTTGGACTGCAACATGCAATTGCGTGTCGCAATCCAGACACACGGGGGTGCTCTAAGACCTAGCAATGGACTTGTAACCTCTAGGTCAATCGCTGCTCGCGGAGGTCTAAGTTAGTTAGTATGATGTTAGCTGTCAACCACTGTGTGGGGTTCCACGCTTGGCTTAGAGTACTTCTGCCTGACGAGTCCAAATCAGGACGAAACCGGTCGATCGTGGAGCACAGTGCTGGCAAAGAGCAACTCCGAAATCCTTCAACACACTAACGTCCTTAAGCAGCAGTGAGGTCAGTGTACCTGGCCAGTTGGGCCGAAAGCAGCTGTGGATAGGTATAGTGTATCGGACAGAGAATTCCAAGAGTGCAAATAAGCTAACATGTGACAGTGCGTCCTAATTACAAAGATTGCGCTGATGGGCAGAGGGGAGCAGCCAAACATATCACCATTTAAAGGGTGCTGTTCATTGAAACAGACCGCATCACATACTGCGCACAGAAGTGCGATAAATGCTCGGGATGACTTCCAAGACCATAGGAGTCGCGAAGTGTGTGAGAGACCGGGGAAAAACAATCACTATGTATGAAGGGCCCAAGTTTATTTTACTTTTCGTAAAATGAAGCCTTATAAGCAAACGATGTCTCAAGACGAACCGGTGTACTACTCTGGAGCTCGTATTGGCTAAGCAACCCAGCTCTGCTAGGGATGGTGATGGAGAGAGAATATACTCTGGATTATACCAGAAGTTCTGACCTGCTGAATATCTGGTGTCGGTCGCGCGTACAGAAGCACGTGCACGTACGGCTGGTGAGGTTCTAATCAACGACAAGGTTATGCACCGGAACAGCGAAAGTTCATAAAAGACGAAGCCGGCTTTATCGATGAAAACACCATCCGGTTGAATACTGATCCGTGCCCATCACGACTGTCCACCCTGGATGTCGATTCATCCTGTGTTACAATTGTAGCCGTTGTCCTTGAAAGTGCGCCTATGGAGTGGATAATGGTTTAGCAGTATGCATGGTCTGATTTGCGAGATCAGATGCAGTACCACTTTTAACAGTATAAACCGGGGAGGTTGCTTTTCTTGACCTATATAGACCAATAACCATGCTGTAGCAAACGGGGGTGAAGATATAAAAGATGAACCACCCTGCGTCGCCCACTGAATCAGAGGAGACAGGAGTTGTAACACAGGTCAGTCTTCAAGCTAATTGAGATGCGAGGCGGCAGACTTCGAAGATTTAAGTAGTCAAGGCAACGTGATTTATCCTCTTGGCCGAACACCATTCGGCGGCAATATCTCAAATGTAACTGATAGTATCATGGTGTGCAGATACATCAGTCAGGAAGCGTAGGGCTGTTCAAGCGTTGACGGTTTAGATACTCCAGCACTTTCTAGGCAGAGGATGCAATAACAAACAGAGTGGAAACAGAAAGAAGAAGCGAGTATAGTCTCGGAGGAAATAGCTGAATCATCTACCCACAGATAGTGGCATGCTCGATAGGCAAGTAACAGCTTCATTGAACTCTGAAAACGTCTGTTCAAAAGGGAATTTCGAGCTCAAAAATTTGGAAAATAAAGAATAAGGGGGAAATCGGATGTGCTTAAAAACAGATCGCACTGACGCTCCCCTACTTAAAGATACCTAGGGCATAGATAAATTAAATGAAACTGCGAAGCGGACCATTCCAAAACGTTCAATACATTAATTATTCTCACCCACCGCTCATTCTCATCCTTCTGTTTTTCGATTTCTGTTCGTAAATGTCGCATTTGTGTTTCGCGTTGCTTTTCCATTGAAACTAGCATGTTACGAGATACTATGGCCTATAAAACACAGTTAGGAGTTGAGAGGACGTCAACGCCCACCTTGAGTTTTTGCTTCTCAACCTTCTGGGCCACTGAATCCAACATGTTAACCAAGTCTTGGACAATTGACTGAAAATCGGCAATTTCTGAAACAGGAGCAAAGACCATAGCTTCACGAACAATTTGGACAAGCCGGATACGCCACTTTAGCGAGAGCTACGGTTACTAAAGACAGTTGCCATCCTGACGAAGGTTTATATACTAGCAATATTATTACTCTCGTATTACCGACAGCGCCATCGTGAAAACACTTGGGAAAAGATGGTCAAAAGATCTATGAAAGTTTGGCTGATAAACAGGTGAGGCGTCAGACTGTTCCACAATAGACACAGCCTATTGAACTCAGCAACATTAAATAAATAAAACTATTTTAATGTTTTCGTCCCCGGAGCTCACAAGCTACATAGCACAGCCTAGCCCGTGGGAAGAATACTGTCAGTTTGCCTAGGCCTAGACAGGAGAAGGATTAGAGTTCTCAACCAAAGCCTTTGGTTCAAAAAGTTTGCCACAAGGAAGCGAGATTTTGGCACTGAACTACAAAGAGCTTGTTTTATCGAGTAAGGAGCCAACCTCAACCCCCAAGCTGGAGGGTAAGGAGACTGACTTTTTCAGGCCTCTAACCAATGACCAATCTGGTATGAGTGGCTCTGAAGGTGTAAACAGGACCACTCAGCATAGTTCAATGGATCACTGAGGCACACAAACCATCGCACCACGTTAAAGTCCAGGCTCATCGCGATGACAAGCTATGGAACGCCCACCCAAATTACGTTGCATCCGCCCACACTTTACCTGACATTGCTCTAACCCACGTAAGAGATATAGCCTGTGTCTCGAAAGATGCTATAATGTGACGAAATTTGTACAACCAGAATAAGCTCTTTCTGCATGTCCCCGCGGTGTGAACACTGTGACGAGTCCACCAAAACGATGTTCAGTTTTTCTCTTTGTTTTTCACTCACCGTGTTGTGATTCTCAACATGGCCAACGGACGAGAGTCGCTACGCAGCTGCTTTGTTTCCCGTATATCACTATACCATTTTCCTTTTTTTAATCGCTTTGGATTACGGCACTACGACCACCGAGATACGTCTCATATCTACCTTACTTGCAAAATAACTATAATGGGGCGGATGCAACTGATGCAGATGAATCCCCTGACAAAAAGACGGCAAGCACCAACCCGACTCAACTTTGTAGAAAATTCATTCATGCAGTTTTGCCGCATCATCGAGTGGCCATCTCCAATTTCCACCTGACTGGACGCAGTGTTCGCTGACAATATACACTAGTGCTATATAAGTAAATATGCGTAGTTCAGGTTGTTCAGTTGGTGGGCTAAGTGTTCGCTGAGCTCGGCAGTTTGGCTGCAGCAGCCTGGTAATTAGACAACAACACTTAAAAATTCGGAGGTACAAAGGATGTACCGAAGCTTGCTGCATTGTTAACTAGTGCTTGAGCAGTAAGTAGGCAAAAGCACTAAGTTTGACAATCGGTCACGAAACGGAAGCACTTCTGTATGAAAAGTAGAATGAGGTAGAAGGTCTTTCACAGTCACTTATTCAAAGCCTAAAAAGAAATGACGAGGTCAAACAGCCCTGACTCAAGTTAAATCATGCGCAGTGATGAGATTGCATTAGACTATTACACGACCAAGGGTTTTACGGTAGAAACATTATATGGTTGGCGGCATACGGTTTCGGATTTGCCTTTCACTGTGGACAGCCACAGGACGGCTTGCGTCCACAGAGGGACCATGGATGGCTCGCGCTGCACCACCCACACACCCCATATAAAGTGTAAACCCGAAGGAATAAGACCGGGAGGCATGCGGATGGGAGCCACGTTTCATCAACGGAGTCGGCCCACGCTCCTTCATAGGCAAACACAAACACGCTGTATTTGGGGAATCAACCGCACACAAGGCGGTGGCTGGACCGTAGTCCGCTCCACACTGAGGGCATGGAACCACTCTTCGAGCTTAGCACTACCACAAGGACCGTGCATCCCGTCCCCTCCAGCAACGACCAACTGTCTCCTGGAGCCAGTATGAACGAGGTAGTGGGTATATATATAAAAATATACATCTGTGGTACAGATATTGTGCCATCGGAATCATTGCTGAATAGGAAAACAGTATGAATAATAAGAACAGAGCAACAACAGCAAAAAACATTTTTGCGCAGTTTACCACTCACAACTTTTGAAATTCTTTTTCAGTTTATTTTTTGGGGGAGGAAGAATGGACACCGCAACACACCGATGCACACGTCCGCCACTGAGATCGATCTTAAGCCATGGCTTCCAAGGTCTTCAACCAGCAAGTATCCTCATCTCTCGGACCCCAACCAGGTAGTCGACAACAACCGGCCGAGGTCAACTGTTTTGTCAGTTTTTTCATGCGGCTTTTCCATGGTGTAGGCTGTCCACCAGACCGTCTCTTCCAGCCCTTTTCAGCAACAGCAAACAAGGCACGACGCGGCTCACATTGGACAGGTATGCGCAATACGTGTCCCAACCACCGCAGTTGATGCACTGAGACGAGCTCCTCGAGCGAGTTGCTTCCACGTCCCAAGACACGCTGTCTAACTTCCACATTGCTTACGTGGTGCCGCCACCACACAAGGGCAATGGAGCGCAGACAGTGGTACTCGAACACGGATAGCCTGCGCAAGTCATCTTTACGAATGGGCCAGGTCTCGCATCTGTACAACAGTACAGCACGAACAGTTGCACAAGAAACTTGCCCTTTGATGGAGAGACGAATGTCGTGGCGACGCCAAACGTGCCTCAACCTAGAAAAAGCGAGACGCGCATCGAAATCTCGTCTCCAACAGCTCCGCCAGCAATGATGAACTTCCCAAGTCGACAAAGCTCTCCACAACCTCCAGTGTCTCACTAGCAAGAGTGCAGGCAGAGGCTCCTGCCAGTCTTGGAAGAGAGCCTTGCATTTGGACGGCGAAAAGTACATACCATACTTTGATGCTTCAATCGCCAAGCGGTTTAGTGCAAGTTGGACGACGTATGGATCATCACCCAGCATGACGGTATCATCAGCATAATCCAAATCAACAACTCGACTACCTGGGAGGAGCTCAACGCCAGCGTTCAAGGAATCGCCCAGAGCGTTCTTCAGGACATGCTCAATGGTAGAAATATTACTATAGAAAAGGACTTCAGGCAGAATATCGTGGGAACCGGGTACGATCATCAGAACGAAAGACAGAGCTTAAGTACAAGGAAGGTCAACATGATAAGTTGTTGGTAAATATAGGAACGTTTGAGAAGCAAGTAATGAGCAAAAAATTTAACCCGTGCAGGATTAATGTTAACATTTATTCATTCGTCTGTTCTGGCTTCTGCGAATCCCCATAGTGTAACATATGTGGGTTGTGTAGAGGTCACTGAGCTCAGACTGATATCCAAATGATTTTCAGGTGATATCATTTGAAGTGAGGGTTGACGACCATCAGACAAAGAGCAATACTTTCGTGAGCCAAGTAGTGTCGAAAAGTGAAACGGGGGCGGTTTCTGCCTATCCGTCACTGTAGTTCGGTAATGACGGCGGAAAGTCAGCTGGGTTAGCGGTTGTTCTGTTTCAGAAGCAATAGATTGTGTTAGACCGTGTCCATGGTATGAGTTATTACCGCGAAGTCACCTTGCGTCAGTTGTTGGAGCACCGTCACATACATTGGCGGCTCACCGTTGTCATGTTCCTCGATATCAATGGTGCATTTGATTCGGTGGATAGACTTGCATTTTGGGACTGTTTACTCAGGAAAGGTGTATCTGAGAAATATGTAAATATTATCCGAGCGTAGCTCAAGCAGAGTGAGGCTTTACGGCAACCTGCCGTTGCCCTTTAATGTCTCCAGCGGTGTGAGACAAGGATGCCCGCTGTCACCTTTCCTCTTCAACTTCGCTATTGACTAAATCCTGGAAATCGCTTTCAACAGACACGACTTGGAAGGTGTAGATCTGCTCCAAGGAGAACGACTTCTTGATTTGGAGTATGCTGATGATATTGCCCTCATCTGTGACAGCTCACAAACGTGCCAAGCGGCACTGGACAGATTAGCACTAACTGTCCGTCACTTCGGGCTTTGCTTCGCACCCTCGAAGTGCAAAGCGTTCCTCCAAGATTGGTCTAGACCGCCTCCTACGCTGACCCTTGGTGGGGATCAGCTAGAAGTCGTTCAAAAATTCAACCACCTGGGAAGTTGTATCAGCGCCCGTGGGATTGTGGATGAGAGTACGAACCGTATAGCAAAAGCTCGGGGCGCTTTTGCTAACCTTCGCCACTTATGGCGCCGGCGCGACATCACTCTTGCCCTAAACGGTAGACTGTACAATGCAGCAGTACGTTCGACCCTACTGTACGGTTGTGAAACATGGCCCCTTAAAGCAGCGGACCTGAAGAGGCTAGTTACGTTCGACCACCGGTACTTTCGTAATTTAGCTCACATCTGGTGGAAACACCGCGTGAGCAACGAGCGTGTTCGACGCCTTGTTTACGGCACAGAAAAAGAAAATGAACCGCTCAGCATCGTTATTTCACGCACCAGGCTCCGACGGCTGGGTCGCATGTTACGCATGCCAGCCCACCGACTCCCGCGATGTGCGTTGTTTGTGCGCCGGGTGTGTAGATGGAAGAAGAGGAGGCGTGGCCAAGCGATGACTTGGTCGAGAGGAATGAAGGCCCTCACTTCGGAGCTAGCCTCGGTTGGAGCGTTTCGACTCCCTGGTTGGGGTCCAAAAGACGATGAACACGTTTGGTTGCACACTTGCTGACATGGCAAGGAGCCGACCTCAGTGGCGTTCGTGCTGTGAGTTTCTTTGTCCCAACCCATCCCTCTTAGCCTCCCCCTCCAATCACGATCTTATTATTTAGCCTTATATAATTTTGCATAGTAATTTTGTTTCGATGCACAATAGCCGGCTGGTAGCTTACCAGAACGATGCCCATCCGTTACCGTTAACTCAGTCAGCATGCACCAGTTGCATTTTTTCTCCTTTTTTCTTCTATGTATTGCGGCACAGTAGCTGAGGTGTTCCCTACCTCTAGTTAACGTGTATGATGATGATG